CACACCAGTCATACTTGCACATTGTTGCTAAGAAATTTCAAGGATGCATCCATGAACTCACCAACAACCAAGGCTGACTCAAAGGAGCCTTTACTTTTTCCATGTTTAAGAAAAGAGACTGAGCTGAGTAATTTCAGGCATACCTAAATGAATAGAACCTAAAGACTTGTATAGAGGAAGGTCCCAGTTTTTCTGGATCCATTCCAGTCTGACTTTGGAACCTGATTAGAGGCACTTTTCTAGAACAGGTTATGGAGACTTTCTGGTTTTATTAGCTCTGTTGGTAGCTTTTAATACTATGCACAATTAATTAGACAGTTTGCTTTAGAACTTGATTAATGTGTATAGAAGCGGATTTGTGTTTGAATACTTGTTTTCTTTGATAGCACAAAGGTTTAGGTTGTCACTTAAAAAGTTTTCTAGGGTGTCAAAAGTGGGACTTCACAAAGATCAGTAAATGTCATCATTGATAACATTTAACTATGTAGCTGCAGAGTGAGGTCTACTAATGCTCAAGAGTGTCATCAGTATCCTCATTTAATTATCAGCCAACAGCTGTATCTCAGTTGTAATATGTAATATGACATGTTACAACTAAACGAGAAATTTTAAAAAACCAGAATTCAACTCAAGGCGAGTCATCTTAACTTGATATCTTGTATATTTTGACAAATGTATAATGATCATGAACATCTAATTATTTTGTATATTTTCATAAAAGCCTCAGCTGCATGAGGCAGTTACCTCTATTTCTAACTCCTTGAAATACATAGTTATATAAGAGTGAATAGTCTTTATCTCAATCCAGAAAAAATAGAGCTAAGCCAAAATTTAAGATTTTCTTTCTCTTTTTTACCACTTTTCCTTAGAAAAAGAAGGCCACCTTGCAGCATTCTCTTCTCTACAAATATGCTTTTCTCCCTTCCCCCTTGGAGAAATTCATAAAAAGGCCTCCCAATTTCTCTGCCCATAAATTCATCTACACGCAGTGAGAAATGGGCACAGCTGGCCCAAGACATTTTGCTGTGAAAGAGGAGCAAATGACACTCACCCATCCAAGTCAAGGGGCATATTACCTTAACCTCTGCCCACCATTTGGCATGTGAGTCAGAAGACCCCACAAGTGTGCCTTTCATCCCACACAGTAAATAATTCAATTTCTAACAATCTGCTACTTGGCAGCATCCAAAAATAGTTGAGAAGGATGCTCATTTTCCCTCATTTTGGGGCTGGTGTTGTAGACAGGATGATAACTATCTAATCAAAGGGTCCCCAAACTCTTCAGCTCATTGACCCCTTCATGAAGTTTCAGATTATTCATCAATCCCCAAACATTTATTATATGAAAGTAATTTAATAAATACTACTTTAACTAATAGTATTATGAATAATAATAATAACAATAACTTTGACCTCTTGGATAGTCCCATCAACCCTTGGATAGTCCCATCAATATTGACCACTTTGGGGAACCCTGATCTAACCCCATTTAAAAATCTTAGGAGATTCCTCTGGGTGCAGTCTTGTTTCTTGAAAAGCAAAATATAGAAATTCTCATCCTTTTTGTGTAGGGCTGGTTTTCCTTAAAGAAACAGTTGCTACAAAGCGTATTTCATCTTCCATTGCTGGGTTATAAAAGTTGCTTATAAATATTTTAAATAAAATAAAATGGATTACAGAGTTTTTAAAACCCTAATGAGTCTCTCCACTGAGGTGGGTGAGAAATTGAATAAATACAAGTAAAGATGTCCTTGAATAAAATTTGACTCTTGACAATTTCATTCAAAAACTTTTCTTGCCAGTGTTTCAGAAGCAGTCTGCCGTTGTCTTCTTCTAAGACATTTTTTCAACTTCCCAGTTGAGCAAAAAGTTCTGGAATTCCCAGGCAGTCCTCCATCGAAGTAGTCACCTGGCCAGATCCTGCTTACCATTTTTGACAGCCATTTACATACTCTCACTGACTGAAACACCAGGATAACACAAACAAACGTGCATTAAATAAGCAGTTATTTCCATTAACTAGTGCCTATATACTATACTGTACAACCCATTTATCTATTTGTCAGAATCACATTCCCATCCTCTAAGGAGTGGACTTTTCCACTGCCATAGAAAGCAGTTGATCTAGATTTGCAGCAGAGGCTGAACCCTAAATCACCAATAAATAACATGGTATTGCTAACCGCGCATTATGCTGGTTGCCTTTTTCTCAACACAGAGTAATTACATGTAGCTGATGGATACGTATGGGATTTAGGAATGAAATTAAGTTCCAGAGCAGAGTTCCAAATGCACTTAACTTGCAGTAACTAATTTAATCATTAGAACGTATACCTCGGTATCTGGAGAGTAAGCATGTAGTATCTTGCAATACTGTAATAAAATTAAGTTTCATGAACAGGCACTTTGTTCAGAATGTACAGGCATTGGAGTAAAATAAACCTAACTAAACTAAACTAGTTAATACTGGGCCCAAGAAATTGGAGGCAGAGCACCGGGACACCAGAACAAAATAATTTCGCTCAGCCGTCCCCAATCCGTTGCCCGCTAGATTGTTGGACTACATCTCCCATGGTTCCTTGATGATTGGGGGGAAAATTAGCCTAGAGATGAGGGCACCATTGTCATTTTCAGCAACAGACACCCATTCAGGTGCCCTTCTGGGATGTGAGCAACAGTTGTTGCCAACCATTCGTTCCAGTTTGACACGTGTAGAAACCAAATTATTATAAGCACATAAAGACCTCTATTGCTTTTTCTGTAGCAGGAAAAAAGATCCTTGAAAACCCTGCCCTGAACTTCAGGGAAGAAGGATCAAGAGACTTTTCTAGCTTAACTGGTATAGCTTTACCTCCATAATGAATACATGTACCAACGTTTCTTTAAAAATACTTTCCCACAATCCTTTTAAGTACTTTTTTCCTTGCATTATAAAATTCTAATAATGTTGTTCTTTAGCATGGTTTCTTTAAATAAAAATACACACAAACTGATTCAGTTTGGCTATACAGCATCACTCAATCAAGCTAATCAAGTTTGTTATGAAAGTGAATGGAATTGCAGTCAAGTTGCAGTCATGTGCTTAAACACATTCTTGGGAATAATCCCTATTTAACAAAGGCTGGAAGCCTACATAACTGTACTAGGGAGCAAGCACCAGTGAACTCATAGTGGCTTCTTTATGAATAAACTGACAAGATTGTTCATTCCTTATGTGTGCTTGAAATTCTGGAGGTGGGATACTAGGTTCCACGGAAAAATCATAGGTATCTTCAGTATCCTAAATCAGATTAGAGGTCAAGGGTTTAAAAGTTTTAGTCCTAGTTGGAGATGCCAGGGTTTGAACTTGGGACTTTCCACAAACAAGGCAATGTTGGAAAAGCTTTGGCTCAACCCTACCAAGACCAAGCGGCTGTGGGTTTGAGGTCTTATGGAACCTACAATTGGAGAAATTCCACTCTTAAATCTGTGCAACATTGCCTTGCCTTGCTTGGATTCAGTGTTCAAGTTGGGGGTCCTTCTGGATTAAAACTTCCTGTTTGAAGAGCTGGTGACAGTTGGCAGCTCTGCAAAATTTGGTCTTGTGCATCAATTGTGCCACTTCCTGGATTGGGGGTCACTCAAGCCTTAGTCACTTCCCGACTGGATTATTGCAATGCAGTCTACATGAGGTTCATCCAGAAGCTTCAATCATT